GACCTCCTAACCAACATTTTAATTTTTCGGGAAATTCAAGAAACCTGCAATTAAATAATCAGGTTTTTCCGTTATAAGTTAAATGCTAATACAGATTAGGAAAATCTAAAGATATAAATCGACAAAACCTCTCAATACCGTAAAATAAAAACCCATTTAGCATTTATTAAAGTATATTCAACCGCGTGTCCTAATGCCCCTACCATAAAACCCGATAACCACGGTTTTCGTAGGAAAACATGCAGGTTGTAGGAATTAATTAGTGGGACTACACAAGCTACTGTTGCCGATTTTACATTAACACAAAGCTACCGGAAAGTTGATACATCTTTGTGCAGAATATCTGGGAATTTAGGGCTGGCAGAGGATTCTTATCGGAAAAGGCACATTACTGATTTCTAATTATTCAGTAGAACATCGTCTGGCAATCACCATGCCGAGAGGCCGTCCTTGCAATCTTTCAGAACCTGGCGACGTGTCCCATTTTAAGGAGGACGACCAACGACAATAGCATTGGTATAGATAACACGGCTGCGTTTCAAAATGGCTAGGTCTATTTGAGTAAGGCTCGAAAAATAACTGGAGAGCAGCAGAGAATGAGGGGGATAATGCGGGCATCTATAAATCGCCAGATAAGGGCTTGCGGTGTGCGATCTGAACGCAAACGGTGGATATTATATAAAGGTTTACGGATTTCAATAAGAAGGTCTCCAATATGAAGAGATAATGCAATAAGATGGAACCTTGAAGAAATCTGATATTTTGTCTGTCCGTTTCGAGGTAGTCCACTGCGTGGAACCGTGAGGATGTCGATGGCCATTGCCTGCTATAGCAAGCTGAAGGCAAACTCAGTGACTTCCACATTAATCTGAATATAATGTTACTGTTTCTGCTATTGTTTCCTTCTAAAGTCTCTCATGATGAATCCGCAATGGATGTCGAAACGTCAGGCGAATAACCTTATTATCCCAGCGATCGAGTCTTCGTTTTCTTCTCTCTAATGGTACTGCTGTTTGCTCATGTTTCTGATGAAGAAGACACGACAGATGTCCAAACGTCAGGCGAATAAACGTGGTGTTCCAGCGATCTACTCTTCTTCTTCTTATCTATGAGAGCAGACTTGCGTTGCATCTACCGCACTCTCTCCCCACTTCCCGATTCCGGTTCGGCCCGGCGTCGAGAAGACCGAAGTGGGAAGAGGGCGCTTGTGGATGGCGAGGCTTGAACCGCCCTCAAATGAGCCACCACAGTTTGAACTTAGCGCCGGAAGTAAAACGATCTCCGCTGCAAGAGACGGACCACTTGGCAGAACCAGACACAGATGTGCTGTTAAGAAGGAGTAAATGGTGTGAGACAATAGTGAAAGTGGAGGAGCAGTCAAGAAATTGAAATGCACATTTAAATATTTTGGTGCAAAATGGACAACAAGAGCAACGGCACCTGGGGTTCAA